GGGGTTAGCTCGTTAAACAACAATAAAGCCTCATGCAGTTTGCAGCAAGATTTCAACTCTGCCTGGTGATTGGGGTGACCAAGGCCCTGGGCTGAGACCCCGGAGGCCTGAGTTTTCCGGGGGTCTAACAGTTTTGAGGCATGAAGGGGTTATGGAGAGCAGCTGAGGCTTGACACTGTGAGAGGCCAGGAAAGGCCATTGGTGAAGGTGCAGTCCAGTTGCAGCAGAAGGCCCCAGCATTTTGGAGATGCCAGTACCATGGGATGGCCACCAAGAACAGCAGCAGCAGTGGAGTGGAGCCATCCAGTACCTAGAAGATAAACTGTGTGTGCTGCAGAGGGCAGAGCCGGAAAAGTGACCTAATCCCTTTGGAGAAGCCCAGAAGATCTTGAGTGAATCCCAGACATTGCCAGAATTCGGCCTATATCAGTCCCATGCTACAGAGGCCATCTATTCTGGACTGATGTCTTTGGGGCTGCAATCGAAGCCATCCAAACAGCCCCGGTCCATCGCTGAGTGGGAGAGTGTGGATTGGGAAACTCCTAGCTACCCCACAGTGTTAAGGACGAGACAGACACATCTTGTCATCTCAGGAGGGCTCTCAGTCCACGCTGGATGGAGACTGGAGTCCACAGTTTATTCAAGCATCCTCTTAAATAGCTTTCCAACTGTAGGGGTGATAGCAGAAGACATCTATTATCATGTATAATGCTGATATCAAATATTTCCTTTAATTCTAGAGGCATCCCCAAAACTGCACATCCTCACCAGCCTCTCCCCAGTCCCTAGGCACATATACAAGCCCTCAGAATAGGTGTGGGCCTACCCAGGGCCTAGGTCTGTTGTTAAGCAAACTAGGCCAAGCCATCAGGTGATAATCAGCTGTCTTCTAAAAGACAAAGTGAGAATTGAGCTCCTGGGATAGAGTTTGAGGCCTGCATCAGAAATACCATAATTGATATTTTCGGGTCCTGACAAGACATTAGAAGTTGAGTTATTTACACTTTTGGCATTTGGTTCTGCTTTTGATTTGATTGTGATTGTGCCCTAGTTCTTCCCCCTTGAAGTAAGCAAGTATTTAATTTTTTTGCAGGGGGGTTCAAGGGTTTCTCTACACAGGGTTTCTCTGTGTAGCTTTGGAGCCTGTCCCAGAACTCCCTCTTTAGACCAGGCTGACTTCGAACTCACAAATCTGCCTGTCCCTGCCTCCCCAAGTGTTGGGATTAAAGGTGTGTGCCACCACTGCCTTGTTTAAAATATTTTTTATAGGAGCCCACAGCTGAGAGACTTTGGACTTTTAAAGACTTTGAATTTTAAAAAGAAATTGGCTGTTTGTTTTTGTTATTGTTTTGTTTTGATTTTTGTTTTTTTTTGAAACAGTCTTTTTTCACAGCCCTGGCTGTTCTGGAACTCACAGAGATCTGCCTGCCTCTGTCTCCCAAGTGCTGGGATTAAAGGTATAAACCAAAAAGTCCAGCTGCGGTTGGCTATTTTTAAAAGACTGAACTTTTAATGTATTTGAATTTGTAAACACATTAATTTGTGGGATTTTAAAAGTTATTTATATTTTGGATGTGAGATCTTGGGGTTGAATGAGAAAGGAAAGATGTGGCTTAAAGTGATATGTTTGTGTGTCAAGTTGACAAGGGGTCAGTTATGGCAACTTGACACAAGCCAGAGACTTCAGTGAGAAGGGAGCCTCAGATGAGAAAATGCTGCCATAAGATCCAGCTGTGGGCAAGCCTGTAGGGCATTTTCTTAATTAGTGATGGTGGGGGAGAGCCTAGTCCATGGTGGATAATGCTATCCTGGGCTGGGGGTCCTGGGTTCTATAAGAAAGCAGACTGAGCAAGCCATGAGGAACAAGGCAGTGAGCAGCACTCTGCCATGCCCTCTGCATCAGCTCCTGCCTCCAGGTTCCTGCCCTGTTTGAGTTCCTATCCTGGATTCCTTTGATGATGAACTGTGATGCTGAAGAATAAACTGAATAAACCCTTTCCTCCCCACGTTGTTTTAGTCATGGTGTTTCATCGCAGCAATAGAAACTCTAAGATAGCTCCCTTTAACAAACAAACAAACAAAAAGGTCTCATTCTGTAGCCCAAGCTAACCTCATTTCTTGATCTTTCCTCAACCTCTGGGGTGTTGGGAATGGAAGTTTAGGCCTTTGTTGAATTAGTGCTGTTGGAAAGTTCAGGAGACACATTGGGAAGCTGTTGAGACAGCTATTGAAACAGGCTGTCTCCCATCTGAGCCAGGTAGCAGAGTGCTTGTGTGTACTGAAGGGACCAGCTCCCCATTTTGGCAGCCATAACAGCTGAACACATATTTGTCTGACCTTGTCTTAGTCACTAAGGTCAGATGCCTGCCCCTTTCGGCAGCCATGACAGTAACACGTGCTTTTCTGACCCTGCCTTGGTCAATAGAGGTTAGGTGCCTGCCTCGTGGCAAGGAACCAATCAGAAGTTAGCTGGTGGTGGTATGCTTTACGGCTCTGGGTGTGCTTTACAGACAAGCGCACAGCAATGACGTGCAGAGCATAGCAACCACCCTGGGAGGGCCTATGGGCCATAACCACCCGTTGGCCAATCAACACAGGGCAAACCTTCCAAGCCTGGAGCCACACCAATCCTGAGCTTGTGCGTACCCCTAGACACTCCCCTTATGCTACCCTACAAGATTTCTATGCAGCTGGTTTGCACCGTCTTTGCTAGCCATCTGCCATGGTGGAGGGTGAAAGACCATAGATAGCCAACATGGGGTTAGCTTGTTAAACAACAATAAAGCCTCATGCTGTTTGCATCAAGCTTTCGAATCTGCCTGGTGATTGGGGTGACTGAAGTCCTGGGCTGAGACCCTGGAGGCCTGAGTTTTCCGGGGGGGGGGGGGTCTAACAGTATAAAGGTTTGGGCCGGACTCCAGCACTATGTAAACTGTGCCTGATTGTACATGCCCACAATCCCAGCATTTGGGAGATGTAGGAGGAAGGACTTTCGTGTTCAAGGTCATTCGTGGCTACTTAGCATGAAGGCCAGCATGGAATATTCAAGAGGAGTGTGTGTTGGGGTGGGGGTGGGGGATAATACAGATGCCAGCATTGGTTACGGAATAGGACATGGTTCCTTGTCTTCCTTAGGAGATCCTGTGTTCCCTGGTTCCCAGCATAAATACAATCTGTCTGGTTTTAGTTCCTCCTCCTTTTTTGGGGCGGGAGGGGGGCAGTGGTGGGGAGTGGTGCCGGGGTCTGGCCTGTATCAGTCCCACGCTACAGAGGCCATCTATTCCAGACTGATGTCTTTGGGGCTGTAATTGGAACCAGCAGAGCAGTCCAGGGGCTGACCCTGAGTGGAGCAGTGTGGATCGGGAAAGTCCTAGCTACCCAGCGGCGTTAAGGACAAATCAGAAACATCTTGTCATCTCAGGAGGGCTCTCAATCCATGCTGGAGTCCACGTTTATTTAAGCATCCTCTTAAATAACTTTCCAAAAGTGGGGGTAATAGCAGAGGACATCTATTATCATGTATAGAGCTGATACCAAATATTTCCTTTAATCCTAGAGAAGTCCTAGAAGCTCATACACAAGCCCCCAGACATTCTAAAAGGGCACATCTCATTAGT